TTGCACATTAAAAGGGTTCAGATTGTTACAACTAAATTTATTCTTTTTTGTTTTGGTGTCCAGATGATTTGCCTTTCTTTAGGTGTTAGTTTGCCTTCAGTACATGTTGATCAAAACTTAGAATCTGTCTTTTATCATAAAGATGCATTTGCTATTATTCCTCGTAACTAATCCTTAAGAATCAGATGGCGCCAAAGCACCAATGCTTTATTTTGATTTCTGGGCATCATATGAAAAGAGATCCAATAGCTTATCTTCTTCAAAACTTTGAATTAGCACCATCATACTCAAATGAGGCATAATTGCACTGTACCTTGTAAAAGATAGGCACCAGTGTTCAATTATGTAAACATGACCATCCCAATATTCAAAGTTGCCTAGCAAATTTTGTACATTTGATTTCACCTTGCGCTGCGAAGTGGTTACAGATACAAAGTCATGGCATGTAGACACATGAGATTCGCAAACAGACACCTACAATATTAGGAGTACCTAGGAGATCTTTTACAATGTGATTGTGGCTGATCTTATGTACTTGCATGTTTTGATTGCTGTACTTTTTTTCCTTGGCTCAGGTTGGCAACCTTGTAGGTCCAGTAGAAGAATGGACTATTGGTGCAACACCATTGACATCACTGATGGATGTCGAGAGGAGGCACAGTAATTTTCTTGCTTGACCTTGTTTCCAACTGACGGCTACTAGTAACATTCTTATTGATGTTTATTCAAGTAGCAACCAATGTGTGACATGCCTTTCTTGTTCCCTTTTTGGTTGATTAGCAATCATATTTTGGCTATAACTTGTGCTGCATCATTTGTCACTTCCAGTGTAACTTTTGACATTGTTCTCTGCAATCAGGCAAGTTGAAGCCAGTGATAAAGAAGGATATGGTGGAACTTGATGGTACGAAGTACTCTGGAAAAGAGTTTTATGGGCATCATATGAAAAGAGATCCAATAGCGTGGACTTTGAGTATCGACGCTTGGTGAATGAAATTGTATGGTGTTGTACAAGTTATTGTGAATCCATGGAACAAATGTTGATTGTGTGTTGTGTGGATGTAACATATGTACTGTAGATTCATGGTTAAACCTGTTATTGTTGGCTGGAATTTCAAACTCAGCATGATCATGACATGGCTGGTAGTTTGAATTTGAAATGTTAAAATCACCAGGAGCTGCTGTTGGCGCCATTATTTGAACTTTTAAAAAGATATAGCGGGCTAGAGGCTGGCTGGAGACTGCAACTGGCTGGCTGGGCTGGCTGGTCCAGCCCCAGCCCCAGCCAGCCCCAGCTAGCCTACCGAATACGCTGATAGTTCGAGCATTTCCTCTTTGAGCATGTGGCCTATTTGTGTCACGTGGCTAGACAATCCATCATGAGTCCATGAAAACCCAGATAGACAACATTGTAAGAAATATTTAGGTACTGATATCAAACAAACCCAATTTTTTACAATTTGACTCTTTTTGAAGAAAATTTATGTTTGTCTCCCTGGGAGACTTAAACTCATCTTTGGATCCTGGAGGTCGGCGCCAGGACTCATGACACCGAGGTAACACGTCTCGGCGCCACAAATCTTAGCTCCGAGGTGCCTGACCGTGCATAGCAGGACATCTTAGGTGGCGTTGACATGGCCGGTACCTCGACGTCAGAACACATGACGCCGAGCACGGATTCAGAACGCGGTGGAGTGGGCGGTGGAGGTCGCTGAGGTTGAATGCTTCACTGCTCACACGTTGCATTCATGTCACTGCTCACACGTTGCATCATGGCTGTTGAGTCAAAGGCTGCCGCTGCTGGTGTGCTTTGCGCCAAATGTGCTCTCATGAGCGGCTGTGCAAGTGGCAGGCTGCTGAGCAAGTGCATGCGGTGCAGTAGCAAGCAGCAGGGGTGTGGTGCATTCAATTGAACATCAAGGAGTGCAGCAAGCAAGCAGCTTGGTGGTGTGTGAAAAGGAGAAAAATTGTGCATATGCATGCAGCCACCAGGGCAAATCCGTCAATAGTATGTGGCAGGGAGCGTGCATATGTTGGCCTATCTTTTCATTCACACACAATGAGCTGGGGAGTGCAGGCACATCTGGCAAGGCTAGAAGCTGCAAAGCTGCAACAGGTCTTGGAAGTCAAGGTGTCCAGGACGGGTAGCAGCGGAGTACTCCAGTAGTTTGTTGGGGTCCGAGTCCATAAAATTGGCTGTTTTTTCGCAATGGTGTGTAGAGGAGAAACCTTGCATCGGACGCCAGAACATAACTCGTGGGCACGCGGTGAAATAAATCCACTAGCAGAGAGAGCTGGTTCAGTGCATCGCAAGACAGCAAAAACCAGAGAGCTAGACTAGCCAAAGATATTTGGCAGTGAGAGCTGGAGTAGGTGGTTTTCTCGGGTGGCGGTGTAGGTGTGAGCTAGTAGGCTCAGCTTGGAGGTGGCCAGGAGTGCTCGGAGGTGATCATTAGCGAGCACAGTAATTTTCTTTGAATGCACCGCACCCTCTCCCTCCTGCTGCTTGCTACTGCACCGCATGCACTTGCTCAGCAGCCTGCCACTTGCACAGCCGCTCACGAGAGCACACTCGGCGCACAGCACACCAGCAGCGGCAGCCTTTGACTCAACAACCATGCATGCAACGTGTGAGTAGTGACATGAACGAAACGTGTGAGCAGTGAAGCAGTCAACCTCACGAGTTCAAATTTTTTCCCAAAAGAACGTTAAAGTAGCCTACCAGCCTACTACACCAGGCCTAGGGTGGGAGACCCACACCAACAACACCAGCCAGACTGCTGCCAGCTCACGCACGAGACTTCTCATTATTAAATAAAAAAAAGAAAAATTCATCCCAACACGCTTTCACTCTCCTCCACTCGTTTCGGCAGGAGGCCACCAGCAGCAGCCGCATGCCCGCATCCTCCACTACCGCACAAGCCCTGCACCGGAGAAAAAAAGAAAGAAATCGACCGCACCTTTCCTCGTCCTCACGCGCAGGCGCCCTCTCCTCTTCCTTCTCTGTCTTCCACGATTCCCGAGACAAAGCCCCAGAGGGGCAGCGTAGGGCACTGGCCGGCACGCAGCCTCTGCGTCGCTCCAGCCCTCTGCGCCGCAGACGTCCATGCTCACAGATCTTGGCGCCGACCTCGGCGCCATGTATTATGACGTCGAGGTACCGGCCACATCAATGCCACCTAGGATCTTAGCCAGGCACCTCGGAGCCAAGATCTGTGGCGCCGAGACGTGTTACCTCGGCGCTATGAGTCCTGGCGTCGACCCCCAGGGTCCAAAGATGAGTTTACTTCTCTCATGGGCCAAAAGTAAATTTTTTTCAAAAAAGAGCTAAATTATAAAAAAAAATAGGTCAAGCAAACCGGACTTGACCCTCATGAAGTCCAGTAATTGAAGTCGAGATTAGTGATCAAGGTTGTTATGATTTTGATCCAATCATTAAACCTTACGACATTACAATCCTATCAAGCAAAACAATACCTATCCTATGATGTATTATAGATTTTGTAATATCTTGATCTTATATGAAAGTTCCATATAATCCCATAAGAATGATAGGATCTTGATCCTATCATACTACATAACAATTGAGATAAAATAACTTTTTTAAATGATTTGGATGACAAAATGCTATTTAAAGCTAAGGTGTATTGAAAAATAATAATGTAAATAATTTGAGTTAAACTTTAAAATGTTAGTTAGATCAATAAATATCAATATTATAGACTTCAATCTTTATGACATATTAGAAGTCTTATAAAAATATATTTTGTAGAATCTGATAGGATTTGAATATTATGATATTATTCTATGATCTATTGGGCAAAAAAAAAAGATTGTACCTAGGATCCCAATTTTAATATAAACCTTTGCTATGGTTAGACTAATTGTGAGTACAAAATAGCAAAGTTTGAATTTTGAAATGCATGCATCATGCCTTATATATTTAGGATGGAGGAGTATTTATTTTAAAGAAGAGAAAGGGGTGTTAGTTGTGACTATGATTATGTGATTCAGTCTAAAACGATCAAATTTCAGTGAGATTTATCCATTTCGGTGAGGCCGAAACAAGATCACACCGGTAAACAATTTAGACCAAATTTGATTTTTTTTTTTACTTTAGTTTAGAGTTCATACAAGCCCATAAGTCTGTGCTGCAATAGATGGGGTCGCAATTTCGATGAATCTGCGAGGTAACCGGCAGCAATGAAGTAAAGCCACCAGAGACCGCTCGCACCAGAGAGGGACACAACGGCATAGATGGCGTCCGGTGGCACCAGAGAGGGACACAGCGGCATAGTTGGGATCCGTTGGCCTTCGGAGGGTGCGACGGGAGGGGGGAAAAATTCTATGCGACACCATCGCATAGAATCCTCTGTGCGACACCGCTACACCGTCACATAGAATTTTTTTTTTTTCCGATGGGAGCCAGCGGATGGGGAAAATCTATTGCAATCAGTGATGGTGTTTGAACTATAAGGTGACAGAAGTCAACATGTGGGCCAGGCTGAGGCCTGGGGGCTTTTGCAATCTGAATCCCCAGTGCCGAATGATATTAATTTCCTCCCAAAAAGAGATAATAAAATGACACTTATCTCAGCTTCTCAATAGAAAATAAGTTCACTACAGAAAGTGATACATCAACTACTATAGCTAGAGCATGATAATGTTCCTGGCACTGGATAATAATCAATCATATATTGTTTGCTAGAAACAAGAGAACACTACCAGTTGAGAGAAGGATGCGAAACACATTGCCATATACTCAACATGGAAATTCACCCAATTGGGGGTGATTTGGAGCAAATTACAATTTAACCATGCAACAGCTGATAGATGAAATGATTCCGGTACAACACATTACACGTATGGGGCAGTTCATATGAAGAGCTCCAGTCTAATAATATCCCCAATCACTAGATTCTACAGGAAATGTCGAAAACTTGGGCCGTAAGGCACATTCCAACATCACACAAACCATTCTACAGAGCCCTTGAGCAGCATTATGCCGCTTTGGCCTTTGATAGTGCCTTCTTCCTCTGTGAGAGCATGTAACGGTACATGTGCGGACTTCCTGCGGTGGTCCAAAGTGAAACAAGGCACCTTCTTATAAGACACTAACGCAAATAGCAAAATGGAGGGCGGTTGTGGGGGGAAGGCTTACCTGGAACATAAATCAGGAGGGCAAGAATAGATGTATAGAAGTAATCGTATGAGAAGTTCCATTTGTTGGGCATCCTAAGACAGTATTTCTCCGATGCCTGAAATTGGTCCACAAAAAAAATAGTTAAAAACGATAGTTATAAGCTGAACAACATGTGGACCTCTTCAGTTTTCTAGTAAGATCAGTGTACCTTCATATAAGGCAAGGCAATGTAGATCAGACCAACTTCACTAGAGATACCAGTAGGATACAACAACATAAAGGTGCTGTACCTGCAGACAATCAGTATGCAAAAACACTTTTAGGGGAAACTTCAATGACAAAGGTGGTAAGATTACTTTCCAGATTTGGAGCAAATCCAAATTTACCTAAGCCATAATAACCAGGAAGGTGCAAAGCCAAATGCCTCCTTCATTCCAAAGAAAGAGTATCTGATGATCTGCAAGAAACCAGCAATTCCTATTAAGATTACTTTGAAATTCAGACCATAACAAAATTTACTCTAGGTTGTATAGCAACATATAATAAAGTACTGAATTCAATGGTAGTTACACGTGAGTAATTTAGAGAATTACATCAAGTAATTTGTACCTCAGTGATAGACCAGCTTATGACCAGGGTAGTAACAAGAAGATGTGACTGGGTCTGCCAAACAAGGTTCACACTGTCAACAAACAATACAATTGTTTACTCACAATAGAAAAAAATTGAAATAGGATGCAAAAGGTAAAAGCGCAATATCCTTTTCTAATGTGCCTGGTGTAGAAACTTGTACAATGCGTACTCATAGTTGCTTATTCCATTATCGGACTTGAAAATTAAATAATTGGCTAACCTTAACTTAGTCCAAAAAGTCACAAAATTTAGCAAATGCTTTTAAACCTAGAACCGTGTCATAAGTCAAGGCCCCAGCAACACGCCAACACATTGATATGTATCTAATCCAAAATACAAAATTACAAAATGGAAACTCTGAAGTTCATGAACAAATTACGACGTATTCCTAAAATAAACGGATGTCATATATGAAAACATGAAGACTTGCTAGTGATGATACCTCAGGAAAACTCCACAAAACACCCCATGTAAGGAACAACCTGGATCCAATCTGTGGAAGAGTTGCAGAGACCGGAGACCTCACCAACCCTATAAAGAAGACAAACTTATCAGAATAGTGACAAAAAAGCGATACCCCAATAGTGAAAAAAGCATATTTTTCTTCAGCCTGTTCGTTTCGTCGTAAACGATCGTAGATTATTTACCGCTGGCTGGTTTGGTGTGAGAGAAAAATACTGTTCTAGCTTATAATCCACGATCGTATACGAGCAAGCCTGACATGTTGAAGATCTAGACTGATGTTCATGTATCGTACTGCTTTGATTGGACGGACTATAATAAGAAAAAGGGATAAATGTCCACCAACATCACCATACCTACGAGTCCATGAAGAATCTGAAGCACCAACATCGCCACCACCAGAAAAAACACAGAAAGGTCAGTTAGTACCTCACAATCTTCATGTGGGTAAAACATGGACTTGAACTACGGCACTAGAAATTTCACAGAGTTTATCTAGCACAGCAAAAGCATATTACAGAATTTGAACCACTGCAAGATTTTGCTGCGACCATAAGTAAAATTTATGTAATTGCACACATCAATCTAGTTGATTAGCAGTTCTTCCTACCAAGAACTACAAGACAATTTTGCTTGTAGTACTCAAACTTTACAGCAGTAATCATTTCTATTAGGATAGATCCAGACTTCATGAGCTGAGCAAAAATATGAAACTAAGCCAAGTTTACAGCTTTACTGTGACCGAGCAAACTGAAGTGCACTACCAAAGTACTGCTAAATAAAAATGGGTGAGGAAAAAGAAACAGCTGACCTCCATGACGGCGGCTGTCTGCGCGAACTGCAGCGGCTTCTCGACGGCGGCGTAGACGGCCTTGTGCCCACTCTCCCGCAGCGTCAGGACCGCGTAGTACAGCACCTGCGCCCTGCGACACCCCCAGATCAAAGAAACACCAAATAAAAAACCCAGACACGGCCAACGGAGCAAGAGGAGGAAGATCCATCCGGAACCCAAGAAGAACAGAGGAGCACGCAGCGGGGGCAACGGACGGACCATCCGAAGAAGACGACCCAGTTGTAGACGGAGAGGTAGAGCCGCCGCAACGCCGAGCCGACGCCCGCCATCGCCGGAGCCGCGGTGAGGAGGGAGAAGACGCTGGGACGGGACTGGATGGGCTTTAGGCTACTCTGACCAGGCTCCTGAGCTGGCTACTGATGATCTAGTAAAAGCAGAGACGCCACACGCATCAGATCAGATGGCATGAAATAGAGCTTCGGCGTCTCGGTAGTGGGCTGCACGTATTGAGAGTTCGATTCGATCTGGCAGCGGCGGGCCAACCACTGGCCGGATTGAATTTGGTATTGAATTGGAATCGGATCGGGGCGGATGGAGGACAGGTGAGCCGGTGGGCAGCGGGAGTTATTGCCGCTGCAGCTGCGTAACTGCCAGCCCGCCGCCCGCGCCAATTCCATCCGTGTGATCAGCAAATCTCTGTCACAAGTGTAGTACTGGACTTGTACAATGAACATGCCCTTTCTATTTTCTTCCCTTTTCAGTTCTCCAATAAAAGGTACATTTTTTATCCATCGGCAGTCGTCAATCTTTTATCCCTTTTCAGTTCAGTCACGGTAACCCTGTGACCAAAACAGTAGCTGCTGTTTGATCCAGAGTTCCAACTGATTTTTCAGCTCAAATCTGTGAGAAAGGCGGAGAGTGCGCATATGTCTAAAGAGTATTAACTGAAACAAAATGTTGTGATGAAGCATGGTATATAAAGCTGTTCACGTCAGCAGCCGCAAGTCATTTAGTTATGCCAAACAGACGCAAGGGAAACATCAAACATTCGAGTAGCTTCCCAAGTGACGATAAAACCGTTCAGCTAACTCAACTGTCAACAATTAGCTCAACTAATTGGGAAGAAGACGGTTCAGTTAGCATGCCCATCGCACTTCTTTTGTAATCAAATTATCACACATCTTTGAAACACTCAAAGTAATGTTACATGAATATATGATCCTGCCCAGCCAAATAAGCACACTGAGAACACAGACCAACTTACTCTCTCTGTAAATTTACTTCCTTGGCTTTCAGCTGTATAGCCTGTACGAGGTACTGGATTACGCCAAACATTGTAGACTAATTGGATTTGGTAGAAATGCGAGTTTCTATAATGCAGCAGAGAGGATCCCCAGTTCGACGCAGAGGGGTTCAAGCCCATCCTCTTCCAACAAGGAAAGGGCTGCCAGGCCATAGTAAGAATGGTAGATGTCTGGTATCCGATCATCTGGGAATTTTGTGAAGCCTCCATACTGTTGCAACAGTGAACGAAAACATATCCTGAGTTATCTGAGAATGTGATTAAGGCATTAAGCTGATAGAAGAGATTTGAGATCAATTACAGGTGACTGGCAGGTGAGCAAAAATCCCCGTAGAGCACAGCGATCGATCAAGTGATAAGCACCCAAGATCTTCAAGACACCTCCAACCCTGTACAGTGAAATTAAAAGCAAGAAAATTACTCAGGTCTTGTTCACTTGTCACATAACTAGTACATAGATTGCAAATTGAATTTACCAAAAAGCATAGCAGGTATCACTGGGCTTGTTTCTTCTCCCTTGGAATCCTCCATTAGTCACTTGTCTCTACACAAGTGGTATAGAGGAATCAGTTTGTAAGGTTTTTTTACCATTGGGTGAACGTGATCCAGTTATACTTTTGTTATTCTGCCTACGTTGATTTCAGATAAATGGTAACATGAATGAAAATGCATGGCATAGAAATAATGCATTTATCCAGATTGGGTAAAGAAAAAAATTGACTGTAACACCCCGCGTCCAAAACTGCTTATATGGCCTAGCTCCGCACGTGGAACGCGCCTGCATACGCGTAGCACCTCTCTTATACTTTCGTCCTTGCTTCGTGTAAAAGGGTTAACCCAGAGGTGCTACGTTTGGAACGACAAGGCTTATAAGCTGGCCCTCACCCTCCTAAACTTCCAAGGTGGTACTAAACCCACCAACAACAACTCCACATGTGCCACTTGGGCCAACTTCACTACTACTGCATGCTACTAATGGGATGGGGTGTTACATTGACATGTTTATGTAGTAGAATAGTAGATAAGAAAAGAAATTTCTTATTGCTACAGAATCACATGAGATGGCACGAGAGGGCTAATTGCGGAGACATGGTTCAGCACAAGTTCAACCTGAAGGCACCATTTGAGGAGCATGCAAATGTCGATTGACGTTGAATCTCTTAAGTTAGATGCCAAATCAACTTGAATGAAGCCCATTAGATGGAGAGCTGCAACAGCACAAAAAGTTCCTCCACCTGACTCGCTAACACAAAGACAGACAATGAGAACCTAAAAGACCCATTACCCAGTGGCAAGCAAAATTAAGTTCTCCAAATGAAGATGATAAATATGTACAGTAACAAATAAAAAGGTCAAATGAAATTGCTTACCATGAGATTCAGAACCAGGAACCATACCAAAGCCTCCATCATATGACTGCATATGATAACAACAAGAATTAGGCAATAGGCATTGCAGCTGTATGCATCTCAATGCAAAATGTGGCGCATTCTAAGTTTTCAGAAATCAACCTGGCAGCTAAGAATGTATTCCTTTGCCTTTAACTTGTCCATTCCTGTCCAGTCATCTAGCATTGAGCAGATTGCAGCTGCAAAGACACATCATATGCTAATTAGATCAATAAAAAAATCAAAATATAGTATTATACTAATGTAAAATGTAAATAAAGGACAGTGCTCCTCACCTGCACAGTATACAAAGCGAAGGTCTGTTTCTGCACCAATATGAGTAGGCATGAAGCTACAAAAAGATGCTTGTCAAAAAAGTCAATGCATTAAACTAGACACAGTATTCATAAAACGGAAGTCTCCTAGGCTGACTAACAACCAACCAAAATCTCACTGATAAGCAAGATCACATGCAACAACAGCATCTATAACATTTGCATTTACTCATAGCATAGCATCTTTAACATTCTGCCCAAACAGGATCACTAAGGCCGAAAGTGTAAAGATATGTAAAGGTGGCATTTAGTAATGTATAAAGTATGTCTCAACAAGAGAACATGACTTAGGAGTAGCAACAATCGAGCCTAGTAGATGAACAAAGTAGTAATCATATAAGTTCCGGAAACCCTAATATAATTAGGGATGTGAACAATTACATGATGATACAAAAATCACAATGGAGCAAGTAAGGCGCGTGAAACTTTTATCTTCAACTGTAAGCAGATCTACAGATGTGGAAGCAGAGATACTTCGAGGACCAATTTGCAAGTATAATGGCCATGATATGGGAATAAATGCGTACCTTCCATCTGGTTGCTGGAGCTTTTTCAAAGACAAAAGAAGTGCCTTGCAGTCAATACTTGCTAGATCGTAGCCAATAATCTTGAGGATAGCAAGGGCAGAATAAGTGCTTGCAAGATGACTAACATCGCGGCAAGGATCCTGAAACAGAGCATGCTTTAATATTTGAAACTATCAGCTTTAATATTTGAAACTATCATAAAAAACACACAAACATGAAAACGTGTATAAAAGGTAGAATCAGCATTTGCCACCCATACCTTCACATTAGGCAAGGGAAATTGAGTTGATCTAGAACCACAGAATCCATAGAACAAACCTAGAAACACATGAAATGTTACATAGCAAGAATGGAACTTTAGATATCATGGTAGTTATTTTTAACAATGTACAGAGAAACTTACCAACACCTATATCATCATTTGCCTCCGGATGAACTTGAAAAGACAAAACCCATTTGGCTATTTCATCCTTGTTAATCTAAAGAGAAAAAAGAGACGCACAACTTCTCAGATCACTACATTACTTCTTACTGAAGAGTCAAAGTATCAAAGAGTACTACAAGCTGCATTTCACTCCTTTAGCAGACTATGCCATTGCCAAACCTGAGGGTACCAATGGTAAGCAATAAAAAAGACTAGCATAAACTTAACCAGTAACCATATAAGCAGCAGCCAACTGTACGAAAGCATTTAGACAACTGCCCAAACTGCCTAGATAGAGACGAGCAAAATTTAGACTATGACCTCCGCATTAAGTGCACCAGCGCCACTTGGCTACTGCACCGTCAACATCACATGGGTTTTGGGCTCCCATTCTCCTAAAGACAGAAATATGGTACTTACATTTTATATGGAACATAACAACGGTGAATATAATTGTGACATGTACAGGACAAGGACAAGAAGAGTTATACCCCTACTAGTCTGTTGCCTCTAACTCCCTTGAGTAGATTAATAGATTAATTAATTATAGGTCAGATGTTAACATCACTCATAGAAACATTGAGATGTCCGCTATCCATCCATAAGTGTAATTCATCTATCCCTGTATTTGCAACCCCCTGCATTTATCATTATGAATACTACTTGTGCTTACCAGCATGAATTTTTCAACTACTTTATCAATACTATACTTACACCAGTTGCCCCAACTGAACGAAATTTAATAGCGTTAGACAGAGGGCTGCGATTCTAACAGCTTTACTTGTCACGAGCTTGTATGTTCCTCTTCTTCCTCCTTGTCCCAGGTACTCCTTGCTAACCAACTACCATCTAAAAGCTACTCCTAAAATAAGTACAAATTCCCTACTTTTCCAAAGGAAATATGTGTTTAGGATGAGAATCTTACAATTCTAACTAATTCTAAGTGCACAGATCTACTGCTGCCTACATTTATGTTATTTTTTGCATATACATACAATTCGGATTACACTAACTGCAATGTGAACAAGCGCACAGAGCCCCTAACAAGTAATCAAAATCCAATTTTTGCACCCGGCGAATCCAGAACATCACAAACCGCCGGCAGAATTCTTCAAGCGGATCGATCGATAAAAGACACGTCGCGGCGGACCGGGCGGGATCTTACTCGGTCGAGCTCCCGAAGAAGGGAGAGGCCGCCGACGGCGAAGTAGACGAGGGTGAGGTGGTTGACCTCCTGCGGCTCGTATTCGTCGGGGAGCTCCGTGGCCATGGCGTCGAAGAAGGCCACGTGGTGCAGGCGCTCAAAATCCCGCTTGCCCATCTACGGCGGTCGGCCGAGCGCCGGCGGTACCCCGAGATCCCCGTTTGCTGCCTGGTCCGTCAGCCACTAATCGAAGGCCACGCGGACGCGGCGACGCAACCAGCTGTGCCTGTGCGCGGACTGTTTGGGGAAAACTCTCCCGATCCGACTCGAACTCGAGTGCACCCACGGGATACCGACTTTCATTTCCACCCAAACTCTGTGCAAGTGCTGGGTAGTAAATCGAAGGATTTTTTTTTCATTTTTAATCTTTTTTACTTAGTCTTTTAATAATAACTGTTTCTAAAATTTATTACAGATCCGATCTTTTGATCGCGCGGCATGATAAAATGACGCTACTACCTATCTGTATTGGCGCGACAAAATTTGCCATGATAGAACCTTGTTACGTAACTTTCGTTGGTGTGACCTTATTGGTGTCGTGTCACTAGAAGTGGCGTGATAAGACTCATTCTTATAAAAAAACATAACTTTTCAATATGATGTCGGATGAAGATAATTTTTATATAAAAATTGTAGATTTCTACAACTTTCTAGTTTTAAGTTTTTATTTAAAAATGTTAAGATACTAAATATAAAATTTTAGCAGCATAATAATCGTATGCTAACGTTTTTCGCATTAGAAAATACTATTTTTTTGTATTGTGTCAAATAAAGATATTTTTATATCAAAGTTGTACCTCTTAATGAGATCTACAATCTTATACTCCATCCATTCTAAATTATAAGACGTTTTGACTTCTCTAGATTCATAGTTTTTGCTATACACCAATATATATGTTATGTCTAGGTACATAGAAATGATATGAATTTAGAAATGCCAAAACGTCTTATAATTTGGAATAGAGAAAGTAGTTTTGAATTTTTACATTTAAGGTCGTTAAGATGCTCGAGAAAATTATAGAAAGTTTTAGCATCATATTAATAGTGTATCAGAGCTTGTCTCCTCACAAAAATTATATTTTTCTTGTATGATGTCAAATGAAGTTAGTTTTTATATCAAAGTTGTAGCTATCGATTAGATCAAAGACTTTTTGGTGGGAGGCCTTCATTTGAGATGGTTAAGATGATCGGGAGCTTATCTTTATATATATATATATATATATGTGTGTGTTCTATATGATGTTGAATAAACATATTTTTAATCTATATCTTTCATTTAATTAATTTTTTGTGTGCCATCAAATAAGAAATATATGATTTTTTCTATGATCACGTCGTATTCTTTTTGAACTCAAAAGATCACATCAGATACCGATCGACTTTCATTAATTTCCACGCCAAACTCTGTGCAACTGCTGGGTGGTAGCAATCCAACAATCCAATTCGAAGCCCACAAGCGAAAGGTCGAGCCGTCGAGGGTTGATGTGCACGGAATTCGGCGCCGGCGGAACGACACTGCCGTCCGATGCTTGTGCCGCCGGTACGGTGCTGGTGTGCGGAGGTGGCCGAGGGGCGGCGCCAAGAGCGGCGGCCGGCGAGCACGGGGTCGACGAAGCGGCACGGCAAGAGCGTGTGCGTGCGCGGGGCCCGGGCGGTCGTCGGGTCAGCAGAGCCGCCGTTTGGGGGGCTGTTGGGCCGCCCGCGCTACTTCCCAACCAACTGCGGCCTGCCTGTGCAGCGCAGCGCAGGCCCTCTTTACTCCATCGCCCTCGGTTGGATGGGCCATGCTGTGAAGTTGCCATGGACCCGGTCCATGCTACTCGCCGGCGTTGCGTTTCCATGGCCGCCAGGGTGGGCAGATGAGAGAGCGAGACCCCCATCCATGGCGTTTCCAGGCTTTGGTTTCTCCGAAACGAGATCTTTCGCTTCAAGACGTCGTCGTTCAACTGCAGTAGTATCACTATCACCTATCCGTTGTTTTACAAAACAAAAGGCAAACGCTAGTATTTGACTCGTCTCATCACAAGCTTTGCACCGGATTGGCGGTATGACTCCCAACCAAGATCGTACACCGAGTTCTGCTGCTGCTGGGACGCCATGCACCCGGTCCACATCAAGATGCTGAGCCACATAACTCCGGCGGGTCCAACGCCCCCCCCACCTGCACGCGGGCCCACCGCCCCGCCCCGCCGCGGGATCAAATACGCCACCTCCGCCCGTCCACTCCCTCGGCGCCCCGTCTCCACCTCCTCCTCTTCTCCTCGCCTCTATACGGCCACGCCCACGCCAGCAGGCAGCAGTGGTCCTAGTCGAGTCGTCTCTCTCCCCGCTCTGCCTCGCTGCCCGTCGGTGGCAGGATGAAGGTTACCGTCGTGTCCCGGAGCGGCCGGGAGGTCGTCAAGGGCGGCATCGACCTCAAGGACTCGGTACGTTGTGCTCCCTCCCGCCCGCCCGCCCGCTCGCCGCCTCTTGATTTGCTTTGGAGGCTGGGTTTAGTGCCGTCGGGGAGGTTTGGTTTTCCGTTGGGGTTCGAGATGTTTCAGCTTGGACTGATTCGTTCGTGGGTTCCTTTTGCAGGCCAAGGTCGCGGATCTGCAGGAGGCCATCCATGCCAGGAGTAAGTGGATTCCCTGCTTAAATTTCGCCACTTGCTTATGCTCTCTGCAGTTTCTGTATTCCATTCATTCATTTCTCGCAACAAAGAACTGTGGGTGTTTACAGTGTGCGGTGTGCCACTGTCATTCAGCAAGCGGGAATCTATGGGCAGTTTATCTTACATTGAGCTAGTAAACGACCTTTCCAAGTGTCATGTGAGAGTATAATACCTTTATTCTCGTCCAGTTGTCTTTAGTTATTGCTGCGTGTTGATTGCTGAAAAGGTTGGAAATTGGTTCAGAATTGCTTCGCTAACAGTTTCATTCTGCATCCTTCTAGAGCTCATGTTTGTATTAGAAACTGTTCTATACGTCCTGTCCGGAGAATTAAAAACTTTGCTAGCAAATTCCAAACTTTAGTGCTTGCATGGCCACTATGAAACTGCAGTGCAGCCCATGCTTATGTGATGTCACAGTATTACCGTGCTCTCCTGAATTCCATGTGTGTGCTAAAGGGCTGCGATAGTGCCAGTGGGTGTGGTATGCAGTTTGTGTATTTTTCGTCTTCCGGTTCGTTCAATTCTAGACGTGAACGAAGGAAAAGTGAGGGAAGCTGCTGCAGATACAAGATGCTTTAGGCTAGCATTCATAGGGTTGAAGTGGCTAACTTAGCGAACAACTGGTTCAGTACTATGCTGCAGCAGTATCTAGTATATGCAATTCAGTCCATATGACCGTATGTCAATGACTAGTCAACCTGGGATCGTTTTGATTGGTTGCTCTCCTTGTTTGCCCTGTTTGGTAGAGATTCTTTTTGGGGTTTTGGTGCTGCAGGTCGTTAGGATCTGTTTAGGTAGGAGGGAGTTGGCCATCAGCATCAACTCACACCCTTTTGTGTTTTCTTTTCTTTTCTTTTTTATATGAAAAATACATACACTTTTGTCGGCCATGAGCCGTGGAGAACTAAATCTTAAGGGAGAAATTAGATGGGAACAGGAAGTATAGTTGAACAGTATTTGGAAGTTGGCTCTGGGACATGTTATTTGGCTCTTCAACTTTATTTGCAAATAGCATCCGTGCTACTTTCAGTCAACGTTCATTAAATTTATTACAGTTTAATTCAAAGTATGTAAGCATGATTGTTTTTGTCAAAAACATATTTAATAGGAGAAGTATGTACTCTACAGTTTGCACAAATGCTCTCCTTAATATTTTTGTGTCTCAAGGGTATATAGTTAGAAGTTTCTTGTTATTGGCCTATTGCTTGACGGAACCAGAAACTGTTTCTAGAATCTACATTCCTTCAATATATGTTGTTTTCTGTTTTTCAACCTCCAAGTGCTGTTGGGATTCTAATTCTGTATGTTAACCTTCTTGAAATATCACATTTTAGCCTTCTGGATGAAAATTTAAGAGGCGTCTTGTGCCCTCATGGCATTTATTGTCACATTCATAGGCACCGCCTTCTCAGTTGTACACTCTGCAGATTAGTTGATCAGCATGCTAGTCTATTTACTTTCCATAATGAGGTGGTGAGCACAAGCAGTGATTATTCCTGTTGGACTACTAAAGAAGTTTTGCTGGCATGTTCATGCTGCCATGTGGTGGAGTGAGACTTGAGAGTATCTCATCATGTATGGTTTGTTATCAGTGCAGTTTAAATGCCCCAAATGCTACTAACATGGATTGCTTAGCTGCTAAGGCAACCTGGTGGTGTGCTGCTCTCCTCTCAGCTTTTAGACCTGTAGCATAGGCAGATATTGGCCAAATGTGTTGGAATAGCAAGCACTTCCTAAACTGGCATGCTGATTTTGCAGCTTGTTTACATATCCTAATGTAGCTGCATGTTGCTCTACCAAAAGTATACATACCAGAATAGGTGGACTGAGAAGTGAACTGACAGTCTTTCAAAGTAGAGCTAGTAAACATTACAAGAGTGCTAAAATCGTTTTACTGGAAAGCTAAGTGTAGTATGTTTTATTGGATGCAAACTAATGCTATTCTAACTTTGTGATTGTGCCATTAGTTGGTAATATTGGGAATACTGCTAGAATGTTTAGTCTGGGTTGGATGGAAATATTTGATCATTGGATTCGCTCTGTTTTGTAGTTTTGCTTTCTACTGTCATGTTTTCCTCCCTGTGGATGTACAGCTTTTCTCCTTATGTGTGTTATTTGCTAACCGATTCTCTCTCTGTACAATGCAGCTAAGAAATATTATCCTTCTAGGCAGCGGCTCAACCTCCCTTTTCAACCTGGAAAAGGTGGGAAGCCAGTTGTCCTCAATCCGAAGGCCAGCCTGTCAGAATACTGCGAGAAGGGTTCTGGGTCACTGACAGTGGTCTTCAAAGATTTAGGACCACAGGTCTACTACAGCACGCTGTTCTTCTTTGAGTACTTGGGTCCTCTTATCATCTACCCCATGTTCTATTATTTGCCCGTCTACAAATTCTTCGGGTACGAGGGGGAACGGGTCATCCACCCTGTCCAGACCTATGCTATGTACTACTGGTGCTTCCACTACTTCAAGAGGATCATGGAGACGTTCTTCGTGCACCGTTTCAGCCACGCAACATCGCCCCTGTCAAATGTCTTCAGAAACTGCGCCTACTACTGGACCTTCGGCGCTTACATTGCTTACTACTGCAACCACCCACTGTACACCCCAGTGACTGATCTGCAGATGAAGATTGGGTTCGGTTTCGGGATCGTCTGCCAGATCGCAAACTTCTACTGCCACATCCTGCTGAGGAACCTCAGAAGCCCAAGCGGCAGCGGCGGTTACCAGATCCCCCATGGCTTCTTGTTCAACATCGTGACGTGCGCCAATTACACCACTGAGATCTACCAGTGGGTCGGTTTCAACATTGCTACGCAGACTGTGGCAGGTTACATCTTCCTTGTCGTGGCGGCAGCTATCATGACCAACTGGGCGCTTGGCAAGCACAGCCGTCTGAAGAAGGCAAGTGTCATTCTTACCTGCGTACTGACCATTACCTTTGGAAAATTTCATAGCTTTACTGAAACATTTTCTTCTGCAGCTGTTTGATGGCAAGGATGGAAGGCCCAAGTACCCTCGCCGCTGGGTGATTCTCCCTCCATTCCTGTGAAGAGGTGGTGGCTGTTGGTCGGCCCATTGGGTGTTGTTTGGTTGTAGCATTGGTAACGTAAATGGAAAGGAATTAAAGCTGTGGGCATTACGGCAAGACATACCATTGGAGTAATTTCTTTTTCATTTGCGTTACAGTTGTGGGAACCAAACAGCACGTTAATGCCTACAGTGTCCCCAGCACACAGAAGTTCGAATTCTTGAATGTCATGCAAACAATTGTACTAATCGTGTCTTTTTACTGGTTGAATTTCGATTCTGTTGTCCAAAAATTATAATCTGAAAGATGGTTTTTATTTTATTTTCTTGGTATTGTTTCACAATCTTACGTGGACCTGTCTTGATACAATCGAAGGTTCATCTGATGTTATCTTCTTTCCCGCTCCCATTTGTCCAAGCAGAAGTGAATGCATCGTTTTGACGCTTGGCGTTGCTGTCCTGTGCTATGACCCTGCATATTAATCTGAAGCTTGTGATGCTTGACATTGTTGCCGTCAATTTTATTGCACGGCATACAGCTTCAAGGTGAATGATGACTTGCAGACTTTTGTGGCCCCAATTATGTTTGATTCTGTTAGTCGTTTGAACTCTCGCTCTCGGTAGTAGCAGAATTCTTACTCTCATCGAGAGAGGATGACACTAGGAGTTAGGACAATTTTCTGGTTTATTTCTCACACAAACTCACACAAATGCCATGCCAACATGAGGGGTTGGAGATACATATTTATAGGCTGCTAGCCAGCCAAACATATGCCAAGATGCTAGTCTAAGATGCTAATATGCTGTTCTAATATGCTGTCCTCTAATATGCTGTCCTAAGATGCTGTCCTCCAGTCAAGGTACACCATGCTGCTGGGCAGCAAGATGCTGCTGTCCTCCAGTCAAGATACACCATGCTGCTGCAGCCCCACAAAGACTGCTGCAGCCCCACGTAGACTTATCCATCAGATTCCTGGATGGCACAGCTATCAGTTATCATGTGGAGTACCGACAGCATTTTACTTTTGAGGTTGCCATCCTTGTCAAAAAAAAAGAAAGAGAGAGAGAGAGAGTCATTACTACTATGATTTGACCGTATTTTGTTTTAGTTCTAGTCTCAGAGCCTCCATGGGTGATGGGGCCATTACTACTATGATTTGATGTGAAGAAAAACTGATATTTCCTTTGCAATGCAGGACTTTTTCCTGAATCCTGTCTTTTTCTTGTGAAAATGAATTGACCCCCTGATATTTTTGTATGATTACTGCAAAATTCTTGTGTTCCAAAGGGATCTGAATGTTCATCATGCAATGGCAAGTTCATGTATGTTGAAATGAATGGATTGGCAGAAATTTGTTGAAATGAATAAATCCCCTGAAATTAAGATCAGAGTTGGGCTCGGCTGAAATCCTTTAAAGACAACTAATCCTCTGATGATTAATATATGTTCTCTAAAGGAATATCCATATCCAAGTCATCATATACATGAACTGCACATTCAAGACCTAAGATGGTTGGTGGCATTTCACCAAATTAGACCGGAAACTTTCTTGTTGACCGCCACTTCCGTGGCGTGCTCTCTTGTCGCCGGTCTCTTGCGACCATTGACCTGTACTGCTCTTATTGTCAGCTACGACTACAAGCGACAAGCTAGAGGAGCAGTGACCAGTCAATTGCAGTGTCTCCAGCGCCAGCCTTTCAGCTCCTGTACTGCAAGTTTTCCATTTACCATTTGACACTTCAGTTCATCTCAACCAATCCACAGCCACACGATCTCTTGGGATTTTTTCCCTTGATTTTTTTACGTTTTTCTTTGTTGATGAGTTATATATGATCGTCGGAGTTTGACCGGATTGACCAGTTGAGCTGGTCATTTGCGTCTGCCTGATACTGCCTTGCGAATGGCACACTTAACAATTGGCACTGAAAAGGTCAGTTTGAGCCAAACATAATGATCCTAGAATTTCTACAGCAATTCCAAGGTTGACTTTTCATTATTTTTCCTGTTTGTGCCCCATCACTGGTGTGGTAGCAGCAGTCGGTGCCCAAAAGATGGTGCAGCATGCAAATCACAAGGTAGTCATGGATCAGTGAGAATTGTTTAATTATGACATCAGCGTGGCAGCAATCTCGAAGCTGACTTCACATGATTGCTGGACCTGGGACGCCAATCGTCTTCCAAGGAAGATACGGATGCAGTTGCCGTTCAAAACACCAAACTTAATAGTAGTATTTCCTAGTAGCTCTGATGATGAAGACTCCCATGCAAATTTTTGCAGGATATATGGGGTCTAATAGCGAATTTTTGACACATTCTAGTCTCTAGAACAGCCCGAAATATATGCAATTTATATGGAGGAAGCAAAGTATCTACATAAGTAGAAGAGGTCAGGTTCCCCCCCCAAAAAAAAGTAGAAGAGGTCAGCACAAGGACACCCAAGTTTATCCTTTCCCACCACTTTATTTTCCTTTCTTATCTTTTTCATGATGATTATGACGCACTCCAATGAAAATCAGCCACGCATCATGCGATGGGAACCGCACCAGATACTCCCAGGCATTGACCAGGTCAACGCAGCCAAATCCATATCTTTTCTTACACTTCAACTTCTTCTTTTTTTCCCTTTTGAAATCATTGCTCACTGATTTTTTAGATGTAAAAATATCTTGAAAGGGGTTCAATCAGATTCACATAAGCTTTTCCCCATGGCCCACCACGATGCCAATGGGCAGTACACACAGTGAAGTCCACGGAAAAGGAGTCTGAAATCAAGGAGAAACATGAGGCTTTATTTGGAACACACAAAACAAAAGCACACGGTTTTTTTAGTTATCACTGTAAAGAAAAAGGCATTAGCTGGACGACAATGCCGCCCTCTGTACTCTCACCACATCGCTAGCTGTTTTGAGGGTTGGGATGATTTGTTCTTCTTCGTTTCCTTTGCCTTCCTATTCCGCCACTAACGTTGGCGAGCAACCGATTGGACCCTTATTACATCCGTCATTTATAGACCTTGAGATTTACTTAAGATAAAGGTCCGTTCGCTTGTCTTAAAATCTGGCTTGTTCGACTTTTTTTTTCAGCCGGAACAGTGTTTTTCTCTCGCAACAATTTAGACGGAACAATATTTTGGCTTGTTTTTTCAGCTAAATTCAGCCAAGCGAACGGGACCAAAATTAGGCCAAACCAAATTATTATAATTTTTCTCAAATCAAATTATTATAAATACAAAAGATAGCAAGTTTTCAGATGACAGCACAATCACGTGTAAACTGTCCAAGCGGCGGAAGTTTTCAACTACCAACACCCGCCACCCGGACATCCAGGCAAAGGCCGCCACGGACCGGAATTTAACGGAAACCCCCTCGCTTCCCGGATCCACCGTTTCTTTCCATTCTCATTCATCCATTCCCGTTTCAGTCCTCACCAACTCCTCCTTCCAGAACTCCAAAGTCTCCGATCCTCGATTCCGAAACCTGCCGGATTTGCGACCAGGCTTCGCCGTCGTCGTATGAAACCATAACCAACCAGGTCAGTTCCAGAGGAGAAAAAGGAAATCTTTTAGGTCGTTTCGCTGCGTGTTTTGCGACTACTTCTTGGTGCCATGGCGGCGCTGCTTCGCGCGCGCGTTTAATCTGTTCGTGGGAAAGCATCCATAGGTTCCTGTTGATTTCATGGACCAATAGGAGCCACGGAGAACTGCGAGCGCTGTTAGCTCAGGTGATTCGTTTGTTTGTTTCCATCCGTGTTCTTCAGAACGCGTTTTCATCTGTGCTTAATTTGGTTGCGTTTTTGTTCCGCGCTGATTTTTGTTGGGAAGGAAAAAGATGCCTTTTTTCTTTCCATCGTTTTTGTTTGGATCGGTAACGGTAAGAGAAGATGTCTGCGATGCCACCGTTTGGGCTTTGGTGACTGAAATTACTGCTTGTTCCTTTCTGTTGGGCTTTGGTGACTGAAATTACTGCCTGTTCATTTCTGTTTGTATGCACATCAGGATTAGTGTTTCCTTCTGTTTATGATTGTTTTCGAGTTCTGTGCCTGACGGGGACATTAAGCACTGACCAACAAATCTGTCACGTTTTACGGAACCTGTTGGAGACGTGGGGCTAAAAGGTGATTGTTTTTTTAACGTTTTCATGGTTCGAGTGACATGTGGAGTCATGCAATTGCTCCATCAGTGTGTTCTCCCACTTGTGAAACTTTGAGCAATCATACTGGTGTGTCTCTCACTCTCTTTATTCTTGGCTTTGTTTTCTGAAGATAAGTTTCTGGCGGATCATGATCTGATTGATCGAACAAATGAAAACCTTATTATGTTAGTCAGTAGAGTAATAAGAAGTCGACAATTTCTCTTAGAAGTTGAAACAGATTTCGTAGCTTGCAGCAGAGTTTCAGTGGCCCTTATAATTCAGTACAAGGCATGCGATTTGGAGACTTTCCTTCAATTGAACTGTCACAGTTCTTGCTAGTTGTTCTGGTTAACAGAATTAGACAAGCGGTGTGGTACATATTAGTACTTCAACTCATTTTCTGCCTTTTGAAATTTTGTACGGGGTTACTTACATTTCGGCTTTGCCCCTTTTTTTTCCTGGCACTCTTAATTTTTTTAGTGCTTTGTAGATGGACATTTTTTTTGGTTAGTTCACAAGAAATGTATGCCCTTATGTTTACTATTTCTTGCTCGTGTTCATTTCCTAATAATGCTGGCAATAAAATACTGGACATAAGCTTAGCAGTACATGTTGCTTAACACGTGGCTAATATTTCCCAAAGTTTGCTTTCCCCCATTAGAAGCTTCCTCGTTCTCAGTTTGCACCGAGGTTTCTTCTCTTTTCTTTTGTTTCTTTAGAAATGCGGCAAGAGAATTGCCGACTGAAATGCACTGAGGATGTTTGGCCATGGTCCAAGTACTTAAGTAAAAGAAGGCCTGAAAATCACAAAGTTTTTCTTCATCTGGGTGGCGTACTGGCGTATAGCTCATTCCTCTATAACCATCTTATCATTGATTAGCATTAGAGACACTAATCTGATTATTGATTAGCAATGGATACACGAACTAACACGGATAGGGAAATATATCTTATAATTAGCCTGCATTAATAAATGCCTCCATTGCAGTTGGGGATTTCTGTCTTCATGTTTCCGGAAAGCAGAGTGTTATGTCGGCATCTTTGGTTCATTAGTCTAGAAAAGATGGGAAAAAAGCTTTGTTAAGTTGGCTTTTATTCGCACATTCATCGATTGTGGTGCAAATTATATTCTATCTTACTTTATGCGTTTTCTCAGGATTAGCTTCCTCCTTTAGCTTACTGAATATATGGACACTTGGTTTGGTTGGAGACCATCTTTTCCTGTATTAAGTTTGTTCGGCACATACACTTTTCGCATATGGTCTGGAGACAATGGTTTATATGGAGTTGGATAGCCATTAGGTTTGTTAATCAGTGGACAGTCTGTTCATGACAGGTGGGAAAGTTGAGCAAAGCTGAAAGCGTGTTCCTTATTTTGCAAGGGTGGTGCTCGTAAGGAACCACCCCCACCCCTCTTCTTTGCTGGCGGGAGAACACCAAATGGCCCAGCTGTTGCACCATCAGGATTCTGCATATCAGGATTCTGCGTTCTATGGCAAGGAATTGCATGGGTGCCGATGGGGTATTCTTCAATTCTTTGGATTTCGCCGTCGCCTGCGGTCCCCAAAGATGCTACCTGACAAGAAACATGGTCAGGAGAAAAACAGTCGTGGTAAGTTAGTGAGTCCTTAATTCTCTGGTTTTTGTTAAATGGATTTGAATACTAGCATAAGGTTGTGGAGTGCAATTGGAAATTCATGTGTCTAAAACTATTTTTGTTTGATCATCAAGATAACTGGCGAATCTAATGATTCAAAGTAGCTAAACTGTTTACAATTTGGCTTTTACAGTGTACTGATCTTGGTTTGTCCTTAAGTGTAACTTAGTTAAAACTGTGCTTTTGTGTTCGTGTGCATGAATAGAATAAGACAAATTATGCTCAGAATCCATACTATTTATCTTATGATACAGGAAGTAGACGCCGAAGCCACTGTTATGCTCCATTGACAAACGAAGACAGTGGAATTCTGGATGATGAAAAAAATACTGAGGTATATCAGATAACCCATCCTTGAATTTCAATTTGACTTTTTCCCCCCTTGAATAGTACCTTTTTTACTGTATTGATCTCCTGGTCTGTCTTGAATAAAGCATCTTCAATTCCTATATGTTGCTTGATGGTTAAGCACTTGAATTTAATGCATTACCATGCTCTGGCTATTTGTTTCCCTTTTAGTTCAAATCAGTACTAATTTGTCTGAACTGTGTCTGCCTTCTGCGAATTAGTTACTACTTGTGTGCATTTTTTGTGGTTTTTTTTAACTGTAGAGTTGGTATATCTGATGCTTATTTGGATATAGTGTTCAATACAAGCAGTTTATAGAAGTTCCTACTTCCAAACCTACATATAGTTCTACACGGACAACTAATTCATTTGAAGATGATTCCCCTTATTCCTTTAATTTCTTCTAATTCAGGTAACCAGAAAACAGAAGACCTCAAAAAAGGAATTCTCGTAAGGCTAGTTTGAGGTCCTTGATTCTAAGGAAATTATATGGAAAGGAAGGTCAGAAAGAAAAGATGCTTCCAGTTGCACCAAAGCTACTCCGCACTATTTCGATACACTATCTGAAAAGTAATGAATATGTTCTTGATGGTGAATCCGCTTCGAGTTGTGATGGTTCTTCACATAGTAGTAAATTGTCGATACAAAATTCTACCAATATGAATTTGCACCATGCTACATCTTGCATCCCAGATGGTTGTGATAGTGATTTAAGTTCTTCACTTCTCCTAAAGAGAGACGACATCCGTATGAGGCGAAAGAGCCACCGTAGCATTTCAATGGATGGGGTTCTTCATAAGGTCCCTTATGGAAAGAAGGTGTCTGGAGATGTAATCAGTGAAGGTCTCCCCCGATCAGCCTCTGCCACATATGATAGGGATGGTGTGAAACCTTACTTTGGTACTGCTACAAAGAGGCATGTAAATCAAGGTTTTCGGCGTTCACATTCCCTCAGTGAATCTTGGGAAAATTACTCGCGCTTACTTGATTCCATTTCAAGTAATGAATCCAAAAGAATACTGACCAACTCTAAGTCTACCAGGGATCATTCCCTAGATGGCCCTAGTGTGAGTACTTCATTGCAAAGAACTTCTGAAGCCTTCAGGTCTCAAGGTGAAAATCTTGTAACTGCAGAAGATGCATTGGCACCACATGTTCAAGAGAAAACTGACGTCAATATAAATGTGGAAGTTGCTAAGGGTGAGAGCTCCAGCGATATGGTTGCTGGTGGCTCTGAAAATCCTGCTTTACCTGACGAGTACGTTGATGACAAAACTGAAGAAGACACATGCACTGCTCCTTCACCTTCAGAAGCTGTTGATATCTCAGAAGAACAGAAAGTAAGTTGTGATGATAACAATCAGATTCCCTCATCTGAAGTCGAGCTGTACGATGCCTGTTCTACATCATCAGAAGTTGACATACAAGAAGAACATGCAGAAACTTATGATGATGATCAGATCCACTCATCAACACAGGCTGATGCATGTACTGCTCTATCTTCAAAGGAGATCATTTCAGAAGAACACACTCCAATTTCTCATGACAACCAAATGCACTCATTCCAGATTTCAAAACCCACAGAAGGTACTTTTTGTGTTCCTTACCCCAGTCACGAATTTGAAGCGGACATAAGTCTAAGCTGTGAACAAGAAACTGAAAGCCCAATGTCTGTTCTTGACGTGGCCTTCTCAGATGATCCTGATCTTCCGGTGAAACGCACCCCGCTGGATGGTGAGAATTTCATTTAGATTCGGAAAACCCTATGTGCATTATTCCTGACCAATTTATATTAAATTATGACCCAAAATCATATCTTGCACTAACACTTCAACTTCTTGAATTTACTCTTGCATTGTCTTCTCTTGCTTCAAGCACTACACGCAATCTTTAGTTACATTTTCTTGTTTTTTGCCACTCGCAGATACGTTGTTGAACCCAAGAATTCTCCATTTAAATGATGCTGATGCTTCAACTGGCGCTGCTATCGTACAAGAAAGTGACTTTGATGGTCTCCAAGTAGATCCAAGGCACGAAATTGAGTTCAACTATGTGAAGGATATATTCAAAAAGTCGAGTTTCAGCAACGAAATACTGTTTGATGAATGGTATTCACAGAACATTACAGCTCTCCAAGAAGTGGATTGCCAACACTACGAGGCCGCGGCAGCATCATTGGACTTCACGGATATGTCCGCTGATCAGTTACTTTTGTTCGACTTGACAAATGAAGCCCTGCTGGACAGTTACAATAAATATTCTGTTTCAAAGTCTAGATTCTACTGGTTCTCATCTTTTGATAGACCGAAACCTGTGGGAAACGGTGTTCTCGAGGAATTGTGGTCTAGAGTGAGCTGCCATCTGGATGAACGACCGTGGTCCAGCATCGAAGTCGACACGAATTTGTCGAATGACCTAGGCAAGAGCGATCCCTGGACGAATTTTCCGAGAGATGCTGATTATCTGGGGAACAAGTTGGCAGACTTTGTATTGGACAAGCTTCTGACTGAGCTCGTCCTTCAGCTTGCAGAGTTTTAAGTGTAGGCATTTATTTTGGTCCCATTTTTTGTGTTTAGGAGCTCTATATTGTGCAAAGGCATGGGATCATTATGTTGTACATACATAGTACAAATTCTTTTTGTTTTTCTGCGAGGACAAGATAATCTGGGGATTATTGTTGTTATTAGGTCTTAGGAATTCAATTTATGTGGTGGAAAGTTTTGCCTGATGAGTACTAGTAATGGGAGAGCAACATTTTGTTCCACTATTTGTACACCTTGAAAAAACTATTTGTATGTATAATCTTGAAAATGAAGATTTTGAAATAGGAATTTGTCAATTGTCATGCAGGCAAAGGTGAAAAATGGCACCTCACGTATCGATTAAAAGCTAAAAATTTGTTGGTGATTTTTGGAAAATAAGTCAATAAGCATGGAAATCTGAATCGTTTTGGGTTGTTTACCGGTGTGGCTGCAAATTTACCGAGCTGCAAATTTACCGAGATACTGTGGTCGACCAGAACCATTCAGTGACTGAGACGTGTGGGCTTTACTGGGCTGATATACCGAGCTGAGCTGGGCTTGAATCAGCTGCTCGCACCAATTCCATGATGTGTGCTAACTGCTAAGCCTGATGGACCCTAAGCATGAGGCTTCGATTGAACCTGCTCAGGTGCTCCTGGATTCGGCCCAGCTAATAAGCTGCTAGGGGGCAGACATGGTCCAAGCCATCTGCCAAACTGAACATGATTGATCCCAAAGAAACGCGTTCTGGTCCAAATTGACAGGTTCCACTGACGACGAAGATAACCATTTAAGCTCGTACGCTCAGTTCGTCCTACGTGCGTATTTTCTCTATTCCAAATTATAAGATGTTTATTTTTTAAAATACATTATTTTACTATATATCTAAACATAATATATATCTAATTATATTGTAACTTAAGTTTCGTATCTAGAAAAGTTAAATGGACTTGTAATTTAAAACGAAGGAAGTATTTTGATAGTACAGTGGTATACGTGATAACCTGAAGTGAAGAGAAGCATCCAGAGAGACGATGATCCACATGTCCGAGTGACGAAGCCAGAAAAAAATTTAGGAGGAGCTGAATAAAAAAATAGATGCTTTTTTATCTTCTCTTAATCTTAACCTCTCCTACCTAATACATATATGTATAAAATTTCAAAGAAAGATTTAGAAGGGCTCTACGTGCCTAGGATCGGTAGGGGGGCTAGAGCCCCCCTAGCCCCACCGCTACCTTCGTCACAGTCCGAACACTTGCTAATCTGAAGTTGGTAGTCGGTGTCCTTCCATGGAGCTGGAGCTCGACCTTACTTCAGTTATCTACTTTGTGCACGGTGTTCCAATTAATCTCTCTCCAAATCTGTGAATTTTCAGTAGTATATAATTCAAAGCCCATTCACTATCGTATCCTATGCCACGCATGGCACCGATAGCAGATATTTGTCGATCATCATGATATGGATGACTCCAGAGCCTTCTTCACTCATGGTGGCCACGAAAGGTGACGCAATTCACATGCACACACTGCAGAGCAGATCCCATCGTCTAGACTCTAGAACCTCAAGCATAGATCGACGACCTGGCTCCGTTCGCTCGTGTGAACTTTGGCTGAAACTGGCTGATAAACACTGTTTCGGCTGAATTGTTGTGAGAGAAAAATACTGTTCCGGCTAAAAAAACAAGCCGAATAAACCAAATTTAAGACAAGCGAACGGGACCTTCTCTTCGCCACCGACTTTTTTCTTTTCGGTGGGGCGAATCCAAAGAGATTTTAAGAATTCGGATTAAAAAAAATCTCAAAATCTTAAATCTCATCCAAACAGTCTAGGATTATAAAGGATTATAATACACACAGAATCTAAAAAAAATAAATATTATTTTAATCTAGAGCCTGAATTTTAGAATCGCATCCAAACATACCCTAAGTTTGGCATGCATGGCAAATGGCATTGTTCTCCCTGAAATCAAATACGTAAGCAGAACGGATAAGCCCATGCCCCATGACGGGTAGGCACGACGCAACGCATGTGCCTACCCAGACGACGATGCCACGTGTACATGAAGGTGGCGTACGTCCTTTTTTTTCTTAAAAGAAAACAAAGAAGGTGACATTATTTCATTAGTAGCTAGTGGACTTTAGTGTTCGTCATCAGCCAATAAACGGTGCCGCATATAGCTGTATAGCTTCTGCAGCAATAGCTAGGGTTTTAGCTATTATTTTGTTTGCTATCAAAACACGCTAATCTCGCATAATATCTGGCTTGTCAAATATATAGCAAGTTTTTTATTCAACTTTTGCTTATCAAATCTTTAACAAGGCAAATTTTGGTCAAAAACCAAGCATGCCCTACACATAAAAACGAACATTATTGAGCATTATACACTACTACGGAATGGACTTGTTGTCCCGGCGATATGACCTTTAGTCCCTTCTTACATCGCACGGACAACGATCCGAGACTAAAGTGCCGCCTTTTAGTCCCGGTCATCGAGCCAGATTAAAGAGGACCTTTAGTCCCGGTTGGTGTTACCAACCGGACTAAAGGCCCTACAAAACAAGCAACGTATGGCAAGACCTTTTAGTCTCGGTTGGTAACCCCAACCAGGACTAAAGGTTCCTTTTCTTTTTCTTTTTCTTTTTTTTTTGTTTAATTTGTTTTCAGTTCAGTTACACGTATTTCTTTAATATATAATATGTTTTTATGTATGTATTCTACGCTGCTAATATAAATACACGCACGCATATAATTACATCTAATTCTCATCTCGAGCATTATTATATTCAAATAAAGTATGGACATATATATATTATAGATATATATATGTATATATACAACACTTTCATAATCTTGTTCTCGAAAATAACGATATCAATAAATATTTAATTTACACAATTTATTCTTTAGGATCAAAGTAGAACTCGTCGTTGGGATTTAGCATTTTTTCTAGAAGAAATCCTGCTATTGACTCTTGAACTGCTTTCAGATGGTCTTTTTGCATGACCCTTCGTTTCAACCATTCAGTCTTGCATTTGAAATAAAAGGAAAAGTATTAATACATATATATATATATTCATTTAAAAATAAATAAAAAATTGATATATACGTACTCTGAGGATATCTTTAGGAGTTCTTCTTATGTGCGCAGTGATAAATTCACAAACGTAGTATCCACACAAGTTATTACCTGGTTGCTGCCGCAAACACCACTGTACGAGAAGATCTTTCTCATCATCTCACACGTAAATTGAAGTACGATATAATAATTAAACACGTGGGGAAGTGTATATAGTACAACTTACTTGTATTTCAACTACATTAAGTGGTGCCTTGCAATCCTTGCGATGTTGCCGAATAAACTCTTTCCAAACCCTGTGCGACCAATAATGTACGATCGTTAATAAATTATGGCAAAGTCTATTCAATAATAGTTGCGCGCGAGAGATCAAAATTACCCCTGAATAATGTCTATCATATCTTGGTATAGTGCCCGCTCTTTTCTCAACGAGTCAAAGATTACTAACCGACTTGAGTTTAACTCAATGACAATGAGTATCCAGTGAAAGCTGCATTGGTTTATACACACACGTACATGCATATAAGTTGTATTGATATTTGCATAAAATGTGTAGACTACATTATTATTAACACTTACTCAAAGTTGTACGGGAAAAGTATTATTGTCTTGTCGTGCTGCTTCACGAAGAACATCATGATATTCTCCTATGCTTCAGATACCCACCGCTCCTTGATAATAATACCAGTTTTGAATACGATATAAGGATCAATGAAGCCAACACTGGTGTCTTGTATTCTTTGGAGCTCTGACATCTGGAATCTGTATATAAATATAAGTTACATGTGAGGATAATTATATACACATACGCATGGAAGTGAGTTTATTAAATAAAAGTAAGAATCACTTACAAACAAAAGGAGCTAATGATTGATTTGTCCAGAGCGTCCCAGTGGTATAGGTGATGCAATTCTTCGAAACTAATATGTAAGATGTCATCACCACGGAAGTAATGATGGTCTCTAAATCTGACAAAGATCCACTGCTCACCCCTGCCACACGCCTGCATGTACCACTTGTTAAGCAAGTACATTTGTGTACCCAATTCATTCAGAGCCGTAGGGTTGTACAGACTTTTGCCATATTTATAAGTCTTTCAGGTATCAACTTCTAGGTTCTGGATTGGAGCTTTGCCCGTCAATTGATCCAAGGTTAAACCAGTATCTTCAAAAGCATTAAGGGCTTGAACCGATATTTCTACAGAGTTGTCTGGTCGATAGACTTCTATGTTGGAACCATATTCATTAGCAACAACAAGATTTTGCATTGGTTGCTTCAGTTGTCCGAGTTGTGGGACATCCTTTCCTGATGCTCTTTTCCTTTTCTTATCTACATCATGTGACTTCACGAGGGAGCGGGTCATAGTCCGATAGTGGCGAAGGCTTACGAAGTTCAATTATCTTTTTCTTGTGAGCATCGACCTTACCTTTCAAAGACATCTCATGGTATGTAAAAGTACGGCTTCTCCTTAAGCTTCGCTTGACTCTTGTTTTTTATATCTATAAAAAAAATCTTTCACTTTTTTGTCTTCTTCAGCTGCTATTTGCTCATCAGTCTTTTCAGGAAGTATTTTTTGAGAAATAACTCTTTTTCTCGGGGTCTTCTTTGTCGTCGGGACCTTAGATGTCTTTGTAGTGCGTCGCTGTGGAGGGGGTGGGGGCGGTGTTGGAGACCGGCGTGGAGGCGATGAGGGCGGTGTTGGTGGAGACCGACGTGGAGGTGTTGGAGATCGTTGTGGAGGCGGTGGGGGCGGTGTAGGAGTTGGAGATCGTTGTGGAGGCGATGTGGTCGGTGTAGGAGTTGGCGATCGCCATGGGGATGAAGTCGTCTCGCCCCCCGCGATGCTGTGATGAGATGGGGAATGAATGATTAGGCTAGGTTGGGGGGAGACCCTGCTACAAAAACAAGTTGTGTGTCAATTATTTTTGAAGCCAATAGAA